TGGTCTGCAGTGATGCTGATGCAGGCTGGAGACGTGGAGGTCCACCGTGATTGGAGAAATGAATGGGGCACACTCAACTACGCCATGCATGTGCCAGGTCAGGTTGAGCTTTGGGTTGAACCGCCGGTTGCTAGTTCTATGAACTCCAAGGGGACACCAGAGCCCACCTGGAACACAGCTGATACTAGGACCCTGACGGATTTGCCTTGTGCCTTTGACCCAAGACGACACCATGCAGTGAGGGTCCGACCCAACTGGTTGGTCGTGGGCTATACCCCCTTGGGTTCCACTAAACTTAGTCTAGGTGACTTAGCGTGCTTGGATACCTGGGAGTTTCCGTTTGCTTCCTTTGGATCTGTAGACCCGCAGCAACCCTGGACTCCAACCTTTCAGGAGGAGCATCAGCCTTCAGGAGCCCGTGAGTGCTCTGTTAAGGTCGTGTCTTCATCCTCGGAAGATACTTCGGAGTCTAGCATAACTTCTGAGGAGTTACGCCGCCAGATCGAAGCAACCGCGTCCGGCGAGGTGGATCCTTACCCTCAACTTCCTTCCAATGGTCCTGAGTCCTTGGAAAGTGATTTGCAGCCTGATTCCAGTTCTGTTTTGGTGGGCTGGGACTTTAGCACGGGAGACCCAGGTGATAGGCCGCTGCCGAATTTGGTCAATGTGGCGTTGGCAGACTATCTGCGTGTGCGTGGAGTTGGTGATGCCTACAGTAGGCTGTCCGCTCTCGGTGTTGAGTCTCCGAATGACTTGCAGTTTCTTTACTTAGAGGATCTATTGGAGTTTGGGTTCTCAAAGAGAGTTGCTGAAGGCATAATGTTGGGAATACACCCGCCGGGAACCAGGAGACCAGATAGCCCCCAGTTATCTAGCCTTACGACTGGTGAAGTAAGGTTGCTAGATAGGGGACAACGGCCCATCCCGTGGATCATTCAGAATCGTACCCTTGCCCAGAGGTGCCCAGGTCCACCATTGGCAGGTTTGGGTTGCCGGCAGCCTGATGTGACCCGCCGCTTAATGAGACCTCAGGAAGAGGAGGAGGAGCTGGCGGCCCCCGACCCGTTTGAGTTCCCTGAGATGCCCGGTGCAGATCCAACGGATCCTCCTACTCCACGGCCCTTGCAAGATATGCCAGCCTCATCCAGTGAGCTACCTCCTAGGAAGCATGCCGCTGAACAGGCTATAGAAGATTATCAGTATATGATGTACATGCAATCGTTTTGGGGTGATGAAGAATGGGACCCAGGGTCAAGCTCTAGTGGACCAGCAGCCCAAGTGCAGGGTTCAGTGCCGCAAGCCATACCCGAAGGTTCCGATCCTTCCACTATGAGTGATGCAGTTCGGGTGACAGGACAGCAGAACGAGGAGCAGGCCCCAGGCCCTAGTGAGGCCCATGCAGATCCGACTGATCCTCCTACTCCACGGTCTGAGTCGCCCTATAGTTGCAAGACGGTTGATCACGGGTCCATAGAACAGCTCGGTGGTATTCAGGGTAGCACGAGTCCAATGCCCATAGGCTGTGCGTCTGGAGCTAGGCCGGTGCAGTCGTCGTCAAGTCACTGCGTTGCTAGTATCGGAGTACCCACTGAGAATCCACTGGTTGAGCTGTGTGGAACGGCTAGAGGCAATGTTGAGCGTGTGGCAGTAAGAAAGGTCGATGATGGAGGCTTCACTCCTAACATTGAGGACCTACTCTCGAGTTTGGATGGACCGCTGGAAGTCACCCACAATGTGGCGCCTGCAGATGTCCGGGGAAACCTGGAGAAGTGGCGACCAGCCGCTAAGGCCGAATTGGACACCTTCGAAGCTATGGGCGTCATTCGCAAGTTTCACGGCCCTGAAGCCCGTGCAATCCTGAGGGACTCAAAGTACGAGGTTATTCCTGGAAAATCTGTTTGTACGGTGAAACCAGGCACGCCCTACAAGAGGAAATTCAGAATTGTGTCGTGTGGAAACTTCGCTAAGACCACAGCTGAGAGCCAACTCTACGCCGGCGGAGCCGGGGCCGAAAGCCTTAGGGCTTTGCTTGTACATTCGGCTCGTCGTGGGCGACGTGCATTTGGTCTCGATGTGAAATCAGCCTTTTTACTTGCTTCCATCCCAGAGGGAGTCACGAAACGCTACGCTATGCGACCGCCTCGTTTGCTGATCGACTTGGGGTTGGCTAAGGAAGACGAGGTGTGGATTATAGACAAGGCGCTGTATGGATTCAAAGAGAGTCCTCGCTGGTGGTCTTTGTTTAGGGATGAGTTCCTTGCCAAGGCGAAGTGGAGTAGCGAGCTTGGAGAGGTTAAGTTGGAGCAGCTATCCTCAGAAAAACAACGTGTGGAGGATGACTCATGAATCTGGCCTCTGCATTGGACACCTGTTGGTGTATGTTGATGATATGCTCCTACTGACCGAACCGGAGGTAGCTCGATCCTTCATTGAATGGCTTCGAAATTCTTGGGACTGTACTGGGCTGACGGAAGCTACGGCTGAAGAGCCTTTGAGGTTT